TCCAATAATACCGCCGAATCAAAGTAAGACGTTGGTGGTAAGCAGTATGACTATTATCACCCACAATTCTTTGTGTTCTACTCATGCATATAACATCTACGCATAGACCTGGCTCGGATGCCACTGTTGGGGAACGCGGTAATTTCAAAAAAAAACTACGATCATGCAAGATCTATCGAGGTGATGCATAGCAACGAGAGGGAAGAGTGTGTCCACGTACCCTCGTAGACCGAAAGCGGAAGCGTTAGTTAACGCGGTTGATGTAGTCGAACGTCTTTGCGATCCAACCGATCCAAGTACCGAACGCACGACACCTCCGCGTTCAGCACACATTCAGCTCAATGACGTCCCTCGTACTCTTGATCCAGTTGAGGCCGAGGGAGAGTTTCGTCAGCACGACGGTGTGGCAATGGTGATGATGAAGTTACCGGCGCAGGGCTTCGCCTAAGCACTACGACGATATGACCAAGGTGTGTAACTGTGGAAGGGGGCACCGCACACGGTTAAAAGATCAACTTGTGTGTCTATGGGGTGCCCCTTGGCCACGTATATAAATAAGGGGGAGGAGGAGGCCGGCCAAGAGGGGAGGCGCGCCATGGGGGGGAGTCCTACTAGGACTCCAAACCTAGTAGGATTCGCCCCCCCCCCCTTTCCTATTCCAAGTTGGAGAACGGGGGGGGGGAGGAGGAGAGAAGGAAGAAGGGGGCGCCGCCCCCTCCCCTTGTCCAATTCGGATTGGGGCAAGGGGGCATGCGCCACCTCCTGGCCGGCCCTCTCTCTTCTCCACTAAGGCCCATGAGGCCCAATAACTTCTGAGAGGGGGTTCCGGTAACCCCCGGTACTCCGAAACTTATCTGAAACGACCTGAACCATTCCGGTGTCCGAATATAGCCTTCCAATATATCAATCTTTATGTATCAACCATTTCGAGACTCCTCGTCATGTTCGTGATCTCATCCGGGACTCCGAACAAACTTCGGTCATCAAAACACATAACTCATAATACAAATCATCATCGAACGTTAAGCATGCGGACCCTACGGGTTCGAGAACTATGTAGACATGACCGAGACACATCTCTGGTAAATAATCAATAGCGGAACCTGGATGCTCTTATTGGCTCCTACATATTCTACGAAGATCTTTATCGGTCAAACCGCATAACAATATACGTTGTTCCCTTTGTCATCGGTATGTTACTTGCCCGAGATTCGATCGTCGGTATCATCATACCTAGTACAATCTCATTACCGGCAAGTCTCTTTACTCGTTCCGTAATACTTCATCCCATAACTAACTCATTAGTCACAATGCTTGCAAGGCTTATAGTGATGAGCATTATCGAGAGGGCCCAGAGATAGCTCTCCGAAATACAGAGTGACAAATCCTAATCTCGATCTATGCCAACCCAACAAATACCTTCGGAGACACCTGTAGAGCACCTTTATAATCACCCTTTTACATTGTGACTTTTGGTAGCACACAAAGTGTTCCTCCGGTATTCGCGAGTTGCATAATCTCATAGTCTTAGGAACATGTATAAGTCATGTAGAAAGCAATAGCAATGAAACTGTAACGATCATAATGCTAAGCTAACGGATTGGTCATGTCCATCACATCATTCTCCTAATGATGTGATCTTGTTCATCAAATGACAACACATGTCTATGTCTATGGTTAGGAAACATAACTATATTTGATTAACGAGCTAGTCAAGTAGAGGCATACTAGGGACAATATGTTTTGTCTATGTATTCACACATGTACTAAGTTTTCGGTTAATACAATTCTAGCATGAATAATAAACATTTATCATGAAATAAGAAAATAAATAATAACTTTATTATTGCCTCTTGGGCATATTTCCTTCAATGTGAAAAATAGCTACGGTGTAGCTATGGAAATGTGAAAAATAGCTACGACGTAGCTATTTTAGCTATTTTTTGCATTGCCTTAGTCGATTTGGGGCAAATGTTCACACGTAAAATTTCGTTTAGCGCTCTTTTTCACATAGCTTTTTACATACAAAAAATATGTGAGATATTTATTTTATTAATATTAAAATACGGTCGATACACAAAGTGCTATTGAATAATAAAAGATATATATAATAGAGTGCGGCGTCGTCTCTGAATTCTCTCGATGGAACTTTCTACACCCAACAACGTGTTTCGGCTTCTTTTCATACACTTTGTTTTGAGCTAGACTTCACCATCTTCTTGATAGACGACAGATTGTTGGTCGTCATGGTCATCTAGATCTTTCTTCTTGAACATGTCTTTATCGCTCTGTTCTTTCTGCCTTTTGTACAAAAGGTTTCTCACTTTCTGAACCTCTGCACGGACTTACCTCTCCGTCCAGCTAATTTTCATGTCCGGACTCTTTCTTCATGCCTCATTATGTCTCATCATCATGTGCCGCCCCTTCGACTTTGGCATCCTTCGCGTCCTCATCATGACTTGTCCACCATGTGTAACCAGGCATGAAACTATGTTTCAACAAATGCATCTTCACACGACCAATGGAAGGGTCAATCAAAACTCTGTTTTTGCCCTTCTTACATCATAATATCTCTTTTTCGCCTTTGCGATCCATATCTTCCAACCCCACCTCTAAGAACTCATTCATAGTTCAATCCATATATATATGTAAGAATCGTTCACTTCATACCATTTCCTACAAAAAGGGTCTTTAGCATGACTATACCTTTTGCTAAAAAATGGAAAACCGAAAATTGGGCATATTACCTAGATTAGATGCATAGTCGTTGATAGATGAAATTGGTCGAGGGCAGCGCACGACAACATGTATTATTTAGGATCTGCAAAGAGAAACAAGATTGACAAAAATTATAAGAGATGATGTTGAGAGCTTGAGCTAGCTAGGCACAACTATTTATATATAGAGTTGCATATACTTATAGCGTGCGACCTTTTGGAATGCCAGCACAATATATGTGAACTGATTATGGGCCCTACTTAAAATACTGGTGACGTTGCTACAAAATCTTATGCCACAAGTATCAGACACAGTGTTGGTGTGGGTATTTTTGCTACGCCAGCAGTACTCCACGGACGGTGAGGATGATGGGGCCACATACAGATGGTGTTGCCTAAAATTCCTACGCCAGCAATAAGCACATAGCTATGACGTATGATTTAAGCCGACGCCAACACTATTTGAAAAAACTAGTGCTGGCGTTGATTAAAAATGACGCGCCATCAACAAAAGTTGTGGCAAGCACTTTTTCGACTAGTGATGTATCATGATCTCAAGCAAACTTATTGGTGGACTTGCTCAGTTCGTGAATGAGTGTGATGCCTGTCACAGAGTGAAAGTAGAACATCATCGTCTAGCAGGACTCCTTCAACCTCTCCCTATTCTTGAGTGGAAATTCGATCACATTGAGATGGACTTTGTCACCGGTTTTCACAAATCCAAGGAAGGCAATGATGCTATCTTCGTGGTCACTGATAAGCTCAACAAAGTTGCTCACTTCCGACCAATCAAGGAGTCGATCACTGCAGCTCAGTTGGAGGCATTTGGAATGTTCATAGGCATTATTACAGGTAATAGGCTAGACGAATTGGCCATTGCTATTGTTTAGGGAGTCTTTAGTTTGATTCACATATCATCCTGAGTTTGGTTCCCTATATGCATGTATATTTTTCATTTTTTTCCCTTGGACAAAAAAACTCAAAGGTGGCCCAACTAGGTCCATGAACTGTGCCGCCCACGTGGAACGTACATACAAAATTCCCAGCTAGGCCCAGGAACTGCGTGTGGCCCACGCGGAACGTACATACAAAATTCTGTGATGAGCGCTTTTTACTGCGGGTTTATACTAAAACAGTCAGGGATTTGTTCGTAAAATATCATGACGGACCAAGAACACCTATTTTTCCTTTAATAGTATTTAATAATTAATAGTATGTATAGATACACGGTTAACATTTTAAAAAAATTATTTAAAAATTCAAATATACTATGTGTTTGAAGTCTAGTCTTTTCATACATGTTATACAATCTTCTGTATATCTTAGGAACATTTTTGTACACATGTTTAAAAAAAATACATGAGTGACTCTTTTTCAAATAAATGTTTTTGAACTATTGTTTAATCCGCGTTAAACATTTTTTTCAATATGTGTCAACTCCAACCACCAGGCCATCACCCCGCCGGTGTACAGGTGCTTTGTTTTTCTCTTTTAGTTTGTTCTTCAGTTCGGTTTATTCTTTATCATTTTTCTTTTTCTTTTTTTTCTCATCCTTTTCTGGGTTTTTTAAAATTCATGAACCTTTTAAAATAGATGAACTTTTTCAGTCTCAATGAACTTTTTCCAAATTGGTTAACTTTTTCCAAATTGGTTAACTTTTTCCGAAATCAATGAACTTCTTTCGCATTTTTGGTGACTTTTTTTAGAAATCGATGAACTGTATTTTTAATCTGATGAACTATTTTCAATTCGATGAACTTTTTTTCAGATCCAATGAACTCTTTTTCAAATCAGATGAACTTTTTTCAAAATCGATGAACTTTTTTCAGATTGTGAACTTTTTAAAAAAAATTGATGAACTTTTTTCCAAATATTTAATAAATCTATGAACTTTTTTTATGAACATATTCAAAATTCTAAAAAAACAGAGGCTGGTCATTTTCCTGAACCAGCAGCGCACCACAACCGAAAAGAAATGCAATTGTTTGAATGGGCTACGGCCCGCTGCTGGTCGCTGTAGGCGCCGCCTACAGCGCCCAATAGGAAGGAGCTCCCCGGCGCCACTTCGGTTCCATGCTGGGCCGCTGTTCTCGATCTACTGGGCCGGGCTGGGCCTGAGAGAAAGTATATAACACGCACTCGCCGTCCGAACCGTATCCAAACACCGTATCTAGAAAACCATAGCTGTTACCTTTGCCTTCCCCTTCCCCTAAATAAATAGAGCGGCGGCGGTGGTTGGCGGGGCGGCGGCGGCGTGGAGAAGAAAGGAGGACGGGCGGCGAGATGGCGACGGCAGGGAATTCGAAGGCACCGAGTGGCGAGAATCCGTCCTTAGCCGGGGAGCTCTATCAGGCTGCAATCTCTCTGCATCAGAGTATCAACCGGATCGGGGCCAAGGGGGACATGATGTTCGAGATTGGTCGTCTTGACGCCGCGCATCGCGTAACTCTGTTTGAGTTGAGATCGGAGATGTTCGAGCTGTCGGAAAAGATCAGCGGCCTGATGCACGACGCCGCTCGTATTGAAGCTAAAGGTGAGATGGACACTGATGGGAGGTCGTTGATGGCAGAAAGAAAGGAGCTGCTCGATCTGTTAGCAAAGGAGACCAAGGGGTTGTTCGGTGGCAAGGCAGGCAATCTACCCGAATCGATTAGTGAGATCCTACTGAAATTCAGAAATTTTGTCGGTGACATCAATTCAGTATTTGAAGCAGAACAGACCCGCAAGGAGGCAGCGGCAGTGCTAAGCTTGGGCTTCAGGCTACACTTCTTCTCCAAGCAGATCCATGAGCTGTGGCAAGAGATGTGCAAGTTGCAGAGTTTGTTCTCGCCAGAGAACAAAGATGTCATGAGAACAATGATCGTTTTGAAGAATGAGTACCTGCCCCGTATCTGCAAGTTGCAATGGATTGCTAAACGTGTCAGCATGCTGCAGCAAGTGGACCCGGATTTTGATTCCAAGGTGAAATTGATGATGATACAGTTGAAATCTGAATCTTTCTTATCAGCTATGGAGGAGGTGGAGAGGGAACACATATGCAAATCTTCCATGGACGAGGAGGAGAGGAGGTTCGCTGCCTACCGTATGAACTGGGACCGTATATGGGGGCACCACAAGAACTTCGACGACCAGAGTGAGTAAACACGCATCGAGCTAGTTATCTGATCATTGTTAGGTTTCTTGTTCACCTGCTGCATGTTCTTATAAAATGTACCATATAAGTAATCTGGCCTCTACAGCATGATAGGTCTCTAACTCAATACTTAACTGCTGCTTTATTCTTCTTGATTAATGGATCATATAAGTACTCTGCCACTATAGTTACTTAATGATAGGTCTTTGACTCATGCTTAACTTGCATCCAGCGCTTTTGAGCCCCATGCTCTATACACATTGCACACCGCGCCGCATCCCAATTGAAGCTGCAGCCGGGAGTACCTTACAGATCTATTCCATTAAAATCTCGGCAACAAAAAATCTCACATTGCCAGTGGAGGTGTATGGAGTGGTAGCAGCCCGAGATACTGCGGACCGTCATCGCAACCCTATATTCCTTCGCAGAAGTAACTACTGCCAAAGACTGGAAGAAAATGTATGTGTGGTATTTTCTTATTATTCTTTGTTTGTTTCCTGCATTCATGTTGTTGATTAGTTAATAGCAATGGTGATGCTTGCAGGATTCCTTTTTGTGCCTGGATGGCCCGGTTCGTGCGATTGTGTCCATGGGCACTGTGTACTTTGAAATTCAACTAAAAGTAAAGGGCGCATCAGAATCTGAAGATAGAGCATTGATCAGTACTTATTTCTTCTACAACGGTGATAGTTCCGGCGGGCATGTGGCTAAGAACGACTTCTGCACAGTGGAGTTTTGCTGGGAGCAACTTCGGCAGTCAGTGCAGGCTACTATCCTGAGTGTGTTTGTTACATCTGTAGATGGAAAATTGCCTTTTCCACATGGTGGCAGAGTTGTTTGCTCTTCACAACCTCAGGATGGTAATGAAGATATTGCTGGGCTCTCATCCAGGCAAGTTGTGTTGGTTGATTCAGAAGGCGGAAGAATGCCAATCGCTGAACATGGCTATCTTGAGCTGTCAAGAGAAGTGGTTTCTGTGGAATTGAATGGAGAGTTAAAAGTCCTTATAGAGGCCTATTCGACAACACAATCTGTTGAGAGTGCTCAAGTCATCTTAATCACACCTAAAAAATCCAACATAACGAAAGTTGCAAGTAGCCTATATGCTGGTGGCCCTAAGGTGGAGATTACTGTTGCTTGGTCCCTCATTCCGTCGAAGATGCTTAATTGATGAATGATGATGGGAGACTGGACTTGTTGAAAAGATGGTGATATGTGAAAGTTAGGGTCATACGGCTGCCTTTCCTGTAGTTATGTTCAGACTATGTGAACATTTTTAACTGTACTGTCAAGTTATGTGAACCTGTATTAAGTGGGATGTATTAAGCTATGTTATGCTTGACAATCGATCATGTTACTTTCTGAACAATTGTTTATCAATCAAAATCAGATTGGTATCTCCTGTGAGCTACAGCTACAGTGTGCAATAGTCTTTGGCTCTCTGTTTATGTTCCTTGTCCCTGCTTGCGACCAAATATTTCGATTAGGTTGTTTAGAACAGCTATAGTAAGAGATCAAATCAAGGCATTTGGTAGAACTATGCAAATCTGATCTACAATGTAGTACTCCCTCCGTCCGGAAAAGGATGGCGCCGCGTGAATTTTGCAAAATAAATAAAACTGTCTTTTCCCAACATAACCCGCAGTACCGTCCCCTTCCCCCTTTCTGACCACGCTCGCTTGCCCACTCATCGGCGACACCTCGCAGCTTCCCCATGCTTCACGCAACTCCCGCGCGCACTTCCCTTCTCTTTTTCGCCGTGCCTCAACTCCCTTGAGAAAGCTCAAGGAACGACTTCTCCCATTCCTTGAGTCCCTCGTCGTCGCCATGCCGAGCTCCTCCTCCTTTCTCCATGGCGAGTTCCTCCCTGCTGCCTCCTTCCTTTCTGCCATCGAGCAGGCCATGGTGAGCTTGCTCGTCAAGGTTGGACCTTGGTGAGTGTCGACCCCGCGCCGGGGCCGTCCCAACTGACCTTGGTGAGTGCACTGCAGTTCAGGGTTAAGAAAACTTCACTGCACTTGCCAACAGTTCAGGGTTCAGAAAACTTCAGACGTAGCCTGATTAGGAAATTTGACAAACACAAATCTGAAATGATTCTGGAGGCACTTTCTTCTTTCATCTTTCTAATGGTTGCTCCTGTAGCAATTTCCTCTACATTTACTGAAAATAAACTTGATCTACGAAAAATAAACTTGGCCATTGTTTACTGAAAATAAACTTGATCAAGCAAGGTACACATTTCTTCAGTTTAGCATATTCAGTTAACACTAGGATCAATATTCAGGACTATTCAGTAACATGAGTACTCCAAAAACTGATTGCTTTTCATGAAACACTCACTTTCTTGAAACAGATGAACTGATTACTTAAATATTGATTGCTTTTCATCAGTAATCGAAACTTTCAGTAGCTTGTTGACTATGGCTCTAACTGTCATCTCAAAAGAAAGGTACACTTGGCTATGGCTCTAACTGAATTTTCAAAAGAATGATGGTAATTTCTGATTCTATACTTGACCATGGGCGGAGCTAGATGAGTACATGGGTGTACAGATGTACACCCATTATTTCCTATTTAAAAAAGAGTATATATGCCTATCTGTTAAACAATATGGTCTAGCAAATACTCCCTCCGTTCCTAAATATTTATCTTTTTAGAGATTTCAATAAGTAACTACATACGGAGCAAAATGAGTGAATCTACACTCTAAAATATGTCTATATACATCCGTATGTGGTAACCATTTAAAATCTGTAGAAAGACAAATATTTAGGAACGGAGGGAGTATATGATTAAAGTTGTACATGAATGCTCTAAAAATGAGTATATGAAGCAATTCCTTATATACGATTAAATTTGTACTCTAGAATTTTCTACATATATGTTTTCCTAATCATATAGTACAACAACTATTATGGATATTTGTCAAACCATATGTTTAGAGATATATATAACATAAATATGTATAAACTATATAATTTACACAAGTATGAAACACTATTTAATAAAATCATTTTTGTTATAAAGTACAAACTGAATTTAGAGCAACGCGTGAGTATTTTTCAATAATATATATTACAAATATATAATAAATAAATAAAACAACTAATATTTAAATTTGTTATGTTGTTAAGTATGCCAAATAATTAATAAAACTATAATCCTTAACATGATAGTATGATAAGTATAAAATTTTAGTATAAAATATATCAAGAGGAGCGGGCCGATAGATAAGACTGGAATTGGTGACTTGATAAAAATAAAATTGGATTTATCTACACTCAAAATTAAAATGTTGGCTCCGCTGCTGTACTTGACAGGCAAAACTAATTCTCGGGTTATAATATCTTCATTAGCAGAATGACAAGAAATTTGGTACTCCAATCTCAGTAACAGTTCTACTGAATGTACAATGATCATCACGAGCAGCAACAGTTCTACAACAGCAGTTATACTGAATTACAATGATCATCATCATGACTGGCAGCATGACATATTGTTCTGAAAATTTCTGTAACCTAGACAACTGTATATACAATCTGGACTCAAGTACTACTGAATTCGGTTTTTCATGCACCCAAATAATTTTCAGCATGCACCCAAGTTTCAGAAATAATGTTGGCATTTACATAGGGACCATTATAATCTGAAAAATCATGCATGCATAGTGAACATTAAATCATGCATGCAAAATCCGACCATTTATAACTGAAGCCAAGTTTCAGAAATAAGCACTACTAATTTGTTGGTTTAAAATCTGTTAGGAAAGTCACAGGTGCTTGAATATTACAGCTTATACTCACTTGCTCAAATGCAAAAACTATTGCTACCACTGGATTCATTGGATCTTTCTACCCCAAAAATATATATAATATGTTGGGGTCACTTTAGAAAAATCCCCACAAATGCTTAGAATGCATAACTGCCTAAAATGGCTGTTGACAGAAATAGGAAAACTGCCCAATCTGGAACTAAGGAATTCATTACATACTAAGTGAGTTTGTGAAAGTAATTACTTACGTATCATCATAGGACTCAGGGGCTCCTATGACATCATTAAGCTTTCCAAATAACTTCTCCGGGGACTCCCTTTTAGTACCACCAAGTCTGTAAAAGTTGCCTGGAGTATAGTTGCTCTAAACAATTGATAGTAAAGATCATTATCGCTAAAAATGCACTGCATAACAGAACGCTTAGAGCCTCGCTGGGTTGTCTCCATGAATTCAATCATGTTGAATGTCTCCTGCCAGATAAGTAAATCATTAGGATAGTCATAATATGTTACCTTCACATAGCACTTCCTGATGCAAAATGACTTTACAAAGTAATGAGTGAGAGTCTCTATGTTATCACACTTATGACACTACCCACTGTGAAGGTAGTAATGTAGACTAACATATGCATGTTACTACTCTAAATTACTCACCACTTGACTAGTCTTATAGCTCTAGGGAAACATGTATAGATACGGAAACATCTAATCATTACAGCTCTAGGCAGAAAGATTGTATACATGCAATGACTGAAAAGTGAGAACTTACATCACCGCCCATTGGTGGGGTGGCCACGACTCCACCACCGAAGTAATACGACCCACGTGTTCGGTGGTGAAACATTCTATCCTTCAGAAGATTAATGTAATCCAAAATATCACAATCGATGTCAAGCTCAAATTTGGGTAAGGTCTGTACAAAAAACAAGAAAGGCACACATTTAGAACAAAATTCCTGCAGGTAGAAATTGAAAATCCAATTGCTAAGAGGTATCAGCTCCAGAAACCTGTTACACTGAGTGAAACTGAAACAGAGCAGGTTATGGCCCTACATATTCACATATCAATATCCAACACATGTTTCCTATTTTCAGTTCTGGCAAATACAGGAAAAATGAACTGGAAATCAAAAATTCATAGTGCTTTATGTTATTTGGGCTTCTACGTGATTCGTGATGTCATGGATATCAGATTTAAGGCCACGTGCCAATAGAACAGATAGACACTGTAAGGGGCCATGCAAGAATATGTGAGGCCTAAAAATTAATCAATATTATGGTTTTGTTTCTATTACAGTACCATATTAGTAATATGAAGGTTATTCATAAATAAGAAGTACAGTATATATGTTAAAATCAAACAAATAGAATTCATGTGGTAATGGGAACTCATATTGCATGGTAATGGTCAATCCAATCTTGATGAAATTCAGAAAAGCCTATACAACTACACAAGTAACAGACAAGAATCTATAAAACTAATAAATCAATATTAATCTAGCACATCAACGTCATAAGCTAGGAAACAAATGGCATCAACTCACAGCGAGAGATGTTTGGTCCTCTTTGGCAATCTTCAATCGCTGCCCCGCATCTTCTACAGAGAGCTCGAACTTGGATAGCCTCTTCCCCTTTATTTTGTTCATCTCTTCTGAACTTCCTGCTCAATTAAGGCATCTAGCATTTCTTCTCGCTCCTGCCGGGTTAAAGAAGAGGACGCACCGCCACCAGCGGACTTGTCCTTTTCTTTTTCTTCCCGCCCCCCGTTGCTCCGCCCGTTGCTCCGGCCGCTGCTCTGCCCACCACCATTGCCCCGCGCCTTTCTTTTCCTGAGAAACCCTAGACGTCCGTTGGCGCGGGGGCGGGGGCGGGGGCAGGGGTTGGAGAAGGGGAAGGGGGCGGTCGGCGGTCGGCGAAGGCGAAGGCCAAGGAGGTGGTCGGGGAAGGGTTTAGGGTTAGGCGAAGGGAAAGGAGACGAGTGCGGTCGGCGGTCGGCGAAGGAGGCGGTCGGGGAAGGGGAAGGGGACGAGGGCGATCGGTGGTCGGCGAAGGTGAAGGAGGCGGGGAAGCGGGCGGTCGGCGAAGGGGAAGGGGAAGGAGAAGGGGACGAGGGCTGCGGAAGGCGGTAGAGGGAGGGCGATGTAGGTAGGGTTTTGCGCGCTGGTGGTGTGGGTTCTCAGTTATATTCGGGCTGACTACCACGAGATACCAGGCCCAGAGCTCCATTTCAAATTGGGCCGGCTTTATGAATTGACCCCTCGCCTGCAAGTAAATTATGCACACCTCCGCTTAGGTAACGGGCCTGTGACTGCTTAGCTTTCTGGTTTTGCAAACCCCGGTTTTTTCCTTTCTTTCTTTCTTTCTGTGTTTTTTGTATGGTTATTACTAGGTTTTGTTCGT